TAGCCCCATAAAACTTTAATGTTAATTGACTTTTCCACCATTTTTTTTCCTGGAAAATCATAGAAAATGCTGAATTTTTATTTATTTAGTAAAAATTTTATTTCAAAGGAGAAAGATAACACTTTTTATTTTTTTCAAGTATTAGAAGTAAATAATCAACATTTCCCTAATCTTCCTAGGTGCATTTTTCATTATATTATGCATAAGTGTTTCTTAGCATTAGCAGAGTAAATCATTAAAATTTTGTTGTGAATTGTGTATGCTATCTAAGTAGCAGAAGTAGGGGTGATAAGGAATTCCTTCTGCATCTGCGTAAATCCATGGTATGAAGGAGTTCATGCAATAAGCAGGTACTAAGACTAATGAAGACCTTGCTGCTACTTTCATTACTTGCAAATTTTCCAGATTATTCTGGAATTTTCATAAGTATTTTTTTTAACCTCTAAGTTTGCTATTCTTTTTGTAATTTAGCCAGATATATCCTATCCCTTATCTCTGTCTCTGAGAAATTCAACACCAGAGAGTGGTGCTTTATTTAGATCCTATTAAACGAAACATCTGTTCCACATCACATTAAAACACTTGTGCAGAACTCGATTTGTTAATACTAGGATAATTTTAAGGTGGCCCAGCTTTCTTGTGGCACTGGGAGACTCATGCTGCTTTCTAAATTAGTAATTAACTGTCATGAATTGTACACATGTGCAGACTTCTGAGCCTTTTTCAGGTAGCGCGGGTTCTGTAGTCTGTGGCCTCCCTCCACAAGGGACACTTTCATGCTTTGTTAATGACTAAGCCAGGATGAATAGGTGTTCTTGGGCAGCCAGCAGCTGAGCCTTTTTGACAGTTTTAACTCCTTTCTTGACTGAATTTGCATACTTCTTATTGTAGATCACTGGTGGTGACTGATTCTTAGCTGCCTTTGGTTCTAGGAAACAGGAGGGAGGCATGGTGTGGCCTGAAGACCTGCTCTTGTTTTCCTGGTCCCCAGGATAAGGGGTGGGTGGCTTTGCAATATTTGTCTTCCCTTGCCCTATTCTCATAGAGTGATCTTTGTGTTAATTGTTCTCCTCATTCTGTCTCATCATTCAGCAGCCGTTTAGTCAGTGCCTACTATGTGCCACACGTCATTCCAGGGGAGTTTGTTTTTATTATTGCTGTTATCTGTCTTTGAGAGAGCGGGACCTCATCTCACCTTTTGTGTTTTCTCTGCCCTGCCTTAGCTGCAGGGGAGGTCCCCAAGGGAGCCACCCTGTTTCCCTTCACAAGTTTTAGAGATGGACGCTGGAGCTGCCACGCCCATTCACCCATCCCTATGTGAGGGTGGAGCCAGCGTGGCCAGGAGTTGCGGGTTCATCCTCTGCAGCTCACAGAGGGAGGGATAGATATCCTTCCCCATCTTCCCATGGCAGATTCTCCAGCCCATCTGACAAGGTGTCCCTTCCTCATGAGGCTGGCCTCTTTTCCTTTTGAGCATTGGGCACCACAAAGGGGAATGTGACCTCATCTGGGGCTGGGGACTGCCTAAAGGAAGCACAGTGCTTTCCAGTCACACTGCTGTTGGTATTTACGGTGAACGCTCTCAGTAAGCACAGAGATGTTTAACCAACCCTCTGTCCATTCTTTTCCTGTTCATCTTTTTTTCTTTCCTCTGAATGTAGGGACTGGTGTGATTTTAGGTTCCTCTAGAATAAGGTGGCTGTCAGTCAACATTCGTAGCAAGCAGGCATTTCATCCTTTCTCAGAGGGGATCCACTTCAGTGTCCTTGCTTGATTTAAGTTAAGCTGAGACTGAAGGTGGCCTGAGAAGGGAAGGTGGGAACTCCCTCTGGAGTTGCTGGTCTAAAAGGAGGGTGGAGGAAGTGTGTGGGAGGAAAGAATTTCACAAACTTCTGGTCTGATCCACTGCCAGCTCTCAATTAAAAGTAAATGAAAAGAAGCAAATGAGTCATTTCAGTGGCAGCCATAGGGAATGATCAGTACATGTATCTATAACAACAAAGTCACCCACCGGGTCCCCAGAGAGGGAAGGAGTGAGATTACTTTTTTTTTCTAATAGTAGCATCTCTCTTTCAGGCTTCTTGACCTTTAACTCACAGCTGGGATGCCTCTCTGTGTTTGGAGGTGTTCTAGGATTTCAGACAGCTGCTCAATATTCACAGCAGAGCCATAGCCTCCAGAGTCCAGGAGAAATGAGGACGGAAACAGAAGGGGGCAGCTGGGGATGATGAAGTGACATTTGAATGGAGAATCTGCTCTTGACTTTTCTCTTCCACCAGATAGTCTTTAAATCTAATCCTCGGGTCAAGGTCCATTTGATCTCGAGTGAAGTGTACCCATGTGGATATCAGCAGTGGTAAAATTCACCTCCTTCAGGACCCAAAGGAGCCTTTCTGAGCAGATGTAATGATTGAGTCACAGCTAGAAACAAAATACACACAAACTATGCAGGGGGAACGGTGTTTTTTTTCCTGACCCTTCATAACTGGGGGAGGCAGGGAAGGGAGAACTCGGGTCTTTGTGCAGACAGCAGCTCCCACTCTGAACCAGTTTCAGGAGCAAGGAATTTATTAAGAGTTAGTTGAATGCTGATGGTTTCCTCAGAAGAGGCGGAGAAGCAGGCTTTAGGCTGAGGTTCCAGGAAAGCTCCCCAGACCACATAACACAACTGGTCCAACAGACTGTGTTAGAACTGCCCACCTGCACCTGCCCCAGCAGAGCACACGTGCTCTGTGCCTCCCACCTCAGCACAGAGTTCACGCACTCGCCCACCTGTCTCTTCCCACAACAGATTGTGAGTCTGCACCCTAATTGCAAGGGAGATTCGGAAATGGATTGTATATGGCTCTTGTCTTGGAAAAGTGAGATTCACAGAGTGCAGAACTATCAAAATGTAGAGAAGGTGTGGACAGTTTGGGGCAGTCACAGATTTAGATGCTCATTACAAAACTGTGAGCAAATATAGCACAGAAATTTTTAATGCTGGGAGTTAATAAAAGTTTTAATAAAAAGTCAAAACTTTTAAAAAATAATCCTAGAAGACATGTTTTGTAATGTTGTCTTCTGAGGGACTTGTTTGTGTCCACATCACTGTTCTACCTATCTGTTCTTTTATTCCTGTAGGTTGGTTATTTTTCTAGTTTCTGATGTGTCTCCGTCCCCCAGTTATCCATAACTTGGTGGCAAGATTCTGTGAGATCAGACAATTAAGAGAAGAAGGTTTGAAAATGGTCTGTCTAGGCCGGGCAGGGTGGCTCATGCCTGTAATCCTAGCACTCTGAGAGGCTGAGGTAGCTGGATCACTTGAGCTCAGGAGTTTGATACCAGCCTAAGCAAAAGTGAGACCCTCGTCTCTACTAAAAATAGAAAAAAACTAGCCAGGCCTGGTGGTAGTGCCAGCTACTTAGGAGTCTAAGGCAAGAGGATTGCTGGAGCTCAGGAGTTTGACGTTCCTGTGAGCTATAATGCCAGGGTGCTCTAGCCTAGGGCAACAGAGTCAGACTCTGTCTCAAAAAAGAAAAAGAGAAAATGGTCTGTCTAATTCTTCATGAAGCCATATTCTCTTGCAAAGAGAATATCAGATTTTTATATTTTATATTTTTTCTTACCATTCAAGACCTTTTGAACTATTCTTTCAATCCCTCTGAAAGAGAACCAACCAGGTTTTTGATAAAATTCAAATTTAGCATAATGTCTGTAGCATAGATTTACATAAATTGTCTTTAGCACTTATTGAGAACTGTTAAATCATTTTTTCCAAATTGAGCTGTACTTTAGAAATACCACTTTTGTACACAAAATTTTAATGTTCTGAAAACCAAGTAAAATAAAGCAAATTGTTTCCAGGGCATAAGCACCAATCAAGTACATCAGTGAAACTGTAACTATCATGATACTAAAATTGGCAGAGAAAGCTATAACATGACATTATGGTTTTCAGTCATTATGTTATGGTTTTTACTACAGTGCTTCCTATTTGAACATTGAGGATCCTACATTAAATATATAATAAGTTTGAGGTACCTAAACAAGCATCTGAGATGATAATTGTAAAACTTGTTGGCACTTACTGAAAAGTACTCAGCCATTTCAATTTTTTTGATACAATCCTTTGAATTTTGCCCAAACCTACAAGCTATTTACAATCTAAATTGTGAGTATTTGTATGCATGGTCACGGAAAATAACCAGGAACCTTAATTAAAGAGTTTCCCCCGTTCCTTGGCAACAAAAGGCAAGTGAAAAAACTTCTCCTTTTTATTTTTTATTTTTTGACCCGAGTAAATAGTTCCTTTAAGTACTTTCCTCCACTGAGTGTCATCTTTTTAATTTATTTATTTGTTTTATCATTCTACAGGGAGTTAAATACTTGTGCATTCCGGCAGCAGATTCACCATCTCAAAACCTGTAAGTTGTTTTTTTTTTTTTTTTTCTGTATAATTTGGAGATAGTAAAAATGAGTACAGAATGGTAAAGTCAAGTAAAGCCAAGTAGTCGGAGCCCACCAACCCTTGATGTTATCCCAGGGAGGAAGATGTGAGCCTGCAGAGGTCAGCCCTGGCCAGCCTGGGCCCAATGCCACTGGGGTCACCTTGTGTCAATATTATGCAGCAGGACTAAAGGGATATACACAAGGAGGGCCTGATTTTTAAAGAGGATACCTTAAACCAAACCTTTGGCATTATTGTTATTTCTCTAGACGCAAATCCTTAAGGAAGCTGTTGGGTTTTGTCTAAAGCAGAACTGTCTTATGGAAATAGAATATGAGCCACAAATGCAAGTAATTTAAAATTTTCTAGATGTTGCATTTTCAAAAGCAAAAAGAAACAGGCGACATTAATTCTAATAATATATTTTACTTGACCCAATATATCTAAACTATTATCAATTCCATATGTACTCAATATAAAAAAAATTGAGGTATTTTACATCCTTTTTTTCCCCTACTAAGTTTCAGAAATCTGATTTGCTTTTTTACATTCACAGCACATCTCAGTTCATAGCAGCTGCATTTCAAGCACCTACTAGCCACATGAGGCTAGTGGCTGTGTAAGGGACAGCATACTTCCCAGGAAGTTGAGGGAATAGACCTTCCTGGTTAAGGAAAGTCCACTCCTTTGTTTCTTCTGAATAAATCTTTTGTGTCATTTTTGTTCTGTGTACACTGATAGAGATTCATAATTGCTTCCCTTTCCAGATAGCAGCAGTTCGAAGAGAGTGGGCTTTGGCAGGATGGGGATAGAACTCTGGAGACCCAGGATAGTCATGGTTTTAACATTCACATTTGGCTGTCCAGAGAGGACCCAGAAATAGCATGATGTGGAATAGAGTATAGTTTTCCCGAAGCACGGATTTGACCTGGCAAAGGCTGGAGCAGAAGTTAAAGTACTTATCCATGCCAGGCATCCCTCTGGGCCTGTTCTCTGACTCCCAGGCTGGCCACATGCTGTGCATTGGAGCGAGAAGACACAACAGCCCTCCTCGCATTCCATGTTACTGGATTTCATCAGAGAGTTGTAAGCTGTGGTGGTATTTGTGAATTGGGGAATCTGCAGGCTTGTGCAGACTCATGCTTTGTGCCCTCAAGCACTGGTGCATAGGAATCCTACCTACCACCTATCAGGAATACAGACCACATTCCCTAATGTTCTGCATTAAGTGTCCAGCCTCCCTGAAAATCATCAAACACTGGACCATCAGCCAACCTTGAGTTTTCACTGCTGCAGAGCAAAGAAATCACAGGTGTGTCAAATGGATTGATGTGGATGCTGCTGAGGTGGCAGGTCAAGAAAGAGCACAGGACGTGGGGTGGTTGAAGCCGCTGTGCTCCCTAGGGGCTGTGTTTCCAAAGGTGAAACTTAAAGATTGAGGGTGGTGGAGGGGAGATTTTACTAGGAAAATAAAGTAGTACCCTAGGCCTGGAAGGAGAAGCAGCATTAGAGAACTTCCTTGGTTACTAGTCGTGTCAAGAAACAGAAGTGGTTGGAAGGGCATGGTGTGTACGGAAGGAAGTGAGCCACTGCCTTTCTCTGAAGACCGCAGCAATCTTCTGCCCATGTTTTGGTGGCTATTTTTAGAATGGTTGCTTTGCTCTTATCTCAAGCCAGGATTCTAATGTGCTATTAAACCTGTCAATATCTAATTAGTGATTTGATTCCTAAAGAAGAATCAGATTGTAACCCATTCTGGGCTCGATGTCAGGGTAGACGGCCACCTGTCCTGGAGCTGTCCCCAGGACTCCTCAGCTTTGCCAGGAGCCATGTGCTGTCTTTGATATTAATAATTACGTAAGTATTAAGTGGTTCTGCGCTATAGACAAGTAAGTAGTAGACCTAGATGTTAGAAAGGCTCTAATTTAAAACAAGTTTTATCTACCTTGGGCAAATCATTTTAAACCATCTGTGCCTAAGTTCTCTTATCTGAAAAATGTCTGCCTTTAGCATTTTGGGAGGCAAGATCCTGTACGTGAAAGTGTTCTCTATGAACTCTAAGGCACTTTCAAAAACAGATCCATTTTTACTCTATTCAAAATGTATTAATGTATCTTGAGAGTTACAGAAAAAGTATTTGAAGTAACAAGTTTTGGCATTCAGGAACCTACTTTAGTTATTTGAGAGATTTGGGAGATATGCATATTTGGAAGGCTAAGGGAAGCAGGCATACAACAGTTTCTTTTTTTTTATTGAATGGTAACTATGTACATTAATGCACTTCTGGGGTACAGTGTGGTGTTTTCACATACAATTTGAAACATTTCATCAAGCTGGTTAACATAGCCTTCATGTCATTTACCTAGTTATTGTGCCAAAACATTCATATTCTACTCTTAGAAAGGTTCACTTGTACCCTTGTAAGGTAAACCACAGAAGTGATCCCTCCAATCTCCCTCTCTCCACCCATTCCCCCCTCCCCTCTCCCTCCTCCTCCCCTTATTCTTAGGCTGTTATTAGGTTATAGCTTTCATATAAAAGGTATAAATTAATTTCATAATAGCGGTGTGTACATTAGATACTTAATATGAAGGTACATAGGATCCGGTTACAAAGAAGTGTGCCATATACCTGTGTATTAGTCCTGTCAGGTGGGAACCCTCTACCCCTGCTCCCCTTCTTGAATTTAATTGAATCTTTCTTTCATGTGGTCATGAGTTGTTCATTGAATAGTTTCAAATTAGTATTGAGCACACGTGATGATCATTTTTCCATTTCAGTGATACTTAGGAGAGTATTCTCCAAATCCATCCAGGTTATTACAAAGGATACAAAAATCTCTATCTTTGGCTGAATAATATTACACAACAGGTTTTTTTCTGAGTTCCATCATCTCATGGGTCAATCCAGAATTTCTGTGAAAACCAGCATGAGTTTGAGGCTGGAGGACTAGCTCAAAATTTGTCATTAGTTATCTCCTAAACCAGATATGTTAAGAGGTCTTATTAAGTTTGTTATTTGCCTTTTTAACCTCTCCTTCTACTGACTGACAGCATGGGCTGGGGTCCCAGGACAGACGGGCTGGGGTGGTTTGCAGCAGCACCACCCTTTGGGCTGATGTGTGGAGAACACGCTCACGCACTGTTTCCAGTGAAGTCCTACAACAGTATGACTTCTGTTGAAGTTGGAAAAGGAGGTTAAGACCAAAGTTCATCAAAAGGTGGAAAAGTTGGGCCCTCTGCTATTATGCTCTTAGGCACTTGTATCATAATTTGGAGAGACTTTTATTTTTAAATCTATTAGCAGCGACCAGGCTTATGCCTAAGTAAGTCCATGACACTATAAATATTTCTTGTACTTAACTTACACATAGAGTTGACTTTGGAACTCTGAGTGCACTCAGTTTAGTAAGAGACAAGCTGCGAAACAGCTGGAGTTTCTTTTTACCTGTTGCAAGTGTTTCATGGGGGAAGCATAGCATGCTTTTTAGTGGTGAGCGTGCTTTCGTGGTATAATCAAATGATTCACCTTACGTTGGCAGGCAAAACACCCACCTCTCTTTGAGTAGCCTGTATTTGTTACTCACCAAAGGTCTGGTACCGACAAAGAACTTTTGCTTTCTGTATCATCTGCCAGAGGGGAGACAGATATTCTTAATGCTCTTGTTAACAGAAACAAGAGAAATCACACCCGTCACTTGAAAAATGTGCTCTTGGTCACCCAAACAATTAGAAATAGTAGCTCTTTAGCCATTTTTAATCCCTGGTACCTTAAGAGTTTCTGTATTCAATGACAAAATAAATTCTGGAAAACTGTATTGCTATTGTTTTAGGTACAGTTTTTAAAAATGAGTTTCAATTTTGAAGATCATTTAACACATTATATCTCAAGTGTTTCCCTGCAAATCCCTGCACCAACAAGAATTCTGGCTAATTATGCTTAGTAAGAAGTTTGTGACCTTTGAGATAGACTATTGTCAGTTGACATTCAGTCGCTACAAACTGCTCAGAAAGGTCAATTTTGTCTTGGCCTTAATCCTCTCAAATCTCCCCCTCTGATCTTCCAGGAACTTAAAATGCAGAAACCTGGTTTGAGATAACTTTAACACATTAGAATTTCAGCTCAGTTCCCCCAACCACCTAGCCTTGCTGGGTCAGGAAATGTAAAAGTTCAAGTTCTCAGAGTTGTAATAACCCCGCAGCCCCAGTGTGGTATGTTTTGCATGATTTTGTCTTAATTAGAGACATCATAGAGTTCGTATCAAATACACACACTGCATGTTCCTCAAGTGGCCAGCTGAGGATGGGTTAGTGAATTAAGGGGTTTAGAAATGTTTATTTGCTTTTGCTTTCTTTGTGGGCTTTGTTAGGCAAGTCATTTTAATCTCTCTTCTCTCATCTGCAAAGTGCTGTCTCACAGGATTTCTGAAGGATTAGGTGAGATGATAAAAGCGAAAGTGTTTTATGTGGGTACTAAACATTTCTGAAAGACTGTTTTCTGTCCACTCAATTAAAGAGTATTAATGTGTTTTGAGAGTGATGGTTAGAAGTATGTATTTACTTGTACTTACTCCTTCTTGCTTTATTATATGTTAAATTGGCATTTTTAGTTAGACATCATGAAGCAAGTAATTGTCTTTCTTCTTCTGTGAAGTCCAAGGGCGCTTGGCCTCTGCCAGGCTGTGGAGTTAGTCGTGTTGCATCATCAAGTAATGCTCCGTGACATTCAATGGTTTGAGAATCTACCAGGTCTCTAAATTTCTTGAGGTTTTTGTGGGAAGAAGACGCATTAGCAATACAGAGAGCTCATATTTAAAGCGCCAGTAAGACATCCTGCTTTATTCTACCTCCCTGGCTTTTTGCCTGTGTTTTCTTTAGTTTAGCTGATATCTTCTGTACTTCCAGCTCTCTTTTTCTCTCATGTACATTTTTCTTTACTTCCATTATAAAAGACTGGTTTTGCAGGATCAGAGCTAGATGGCTCCTTTGTCAACTGTGGGCCTGCTTTTCAAGGAGAAAATGAGAGTTATCTGAAAAATGAATATGCTGTTTTTCATAAGACTTCACTTTCTCAACCTATAAAACTGTCTTTTAGTCTTAATCTGTATCCTTCTAATTTTTTTTAGTGTAGTGTATTTTTTTATTTTCTTTGTGAAGTGATGTAGTGAATGATAGAGGGTTTTTTTTTTTTGTCTTTGTCTTTTGTTTTTTAAATGACTTATCTGGCAAAATGAAAAATATGATGTACATATCCCTCCAAGTTTATTTTTAACATTGACAGTGCATCAAACATCAGAGTTAGGAATCACTGGTACAAGCATGAGGCTGTGTACCGGGAGATCAGCCCCACCCCTGTCTGTGTGGTGAAAGGAAGATTCCTCCATGTGCTTCTGGGCTGGGTGGGGGCTTCACCATCAGAGTTCCAGCTGGAAGGTGTGCTGGGACAGGGTCTGGTGGGCCGGGACCAGTTCTGCACCAGGAAGAAGCAGCTGTCTAATCTTGGGTCACTCTCTAGAACCCAGGCCCAATAAAATACTCTACCTGTCTGCTTTTTATAAAAGCAAAATGGAACATTTTTTTCTAAGCAAAGGTGTTTGCCTTTCCTAGGTTATTTTACCCACACACATGCACATACATGTTCACGCCAACGGAGGGGAAGGAAGAGCTTCCTGCCTTCATGTGGCCTTTGCTGTCTGTAAAAGCCTGGTCTGGTCCCATTGGGTTTGGAATAAGAGCATCTGCCCTGTCTGCTCAACCAGACTGCTGGGCTCCCATTCCAGTAAGGGGAGTCCTGTTCAGAAGGACTCTGCTTGCTAGAATGGGGCATTACTGCCTCAGATCCCACCATGAGGATCATGCTTCCAAGTCTTATACTCTTGGAGTGAGAAGTGGTTATTTAGACCTCTAAAGCAAGCATCATGTGGTATGATTTACAAGGCCCTTCTCCCGTCCTTTCTTGTACTCTCTGAATGTCACTAGCTCTTGGCCTCTAATGCAGAGAGGGACAGGCCAAGGAGGGCCCTAGTTGATAAGGAGAAAGGGGACAGTGTCCGCACTGGTCTTTGCAAAATCCACTCAGAGGACGTCTCTCTATGGATGTGACCCAGGTTTCCTGCCAGGTGCCTGGCTGGACTGGGCATGGTCACCCTGAGGCACTATGTGGTGAGTTTGTAACACAAGTGTCCTCTGTGCTTCCCTCTGGATGCACTTAGCGTGTCTTTGTATGGAAGTACAGTCAGCTGCCTAAAACAAAGAGCCGGAATAGGGAACTTGTGTTCATTGAAACAGCTTGTGGCAGGATGGTGCTTCAGAATTGTGTTTCTGCCTCATATTGGAGTTGTGCAACAGAAGGACCAGGGTTGTGGGTTTTTCCCACTGTGGAAGAGGGAGTTTAACAACCAGAGCTCAAGCTTATGTCATCAGCTTCCCTGGAAATAACCCCCCATTACGTCCCATAGTAAACTGAGTTGATGCTGGCTTTTCCTGGAAAAGACACTTCTAGGAATGTCTGCCTGGCTTGGCTGCCTGCCTGATTGTGTATGTGTTAAGCTTCACAGCAAGGCTCGGAGCAGCACACTCCCCCACCCCACCTCACCTCCACCCCCAACTCCTCACACCCCCCATACCCCTCCCCCGCTCTGTCATCATTCACATTCCTGGGCTGCAGCCTCTAGTGGCTGTCACAGTGTCTGCCTGGGGTCTCCACACCACAGCACAGTGGAGGACAGGAGCTGTGCCCCAGAGGCTGCCTGAACTTGACTCTTGTTATAGGCAGAGCTAAAGGGGGACCTGCCCCACAACTTCCTTAGCTCCTTCCAGCTCCCCCTTCCCTCCTTTTTCAAGATGTGGCTGTTTCTCCAACCCAGATTCAACCCCATAGTATGTAAGAAGTCTGGTTCTGTCATGCATGTGGTTTGGGCCCTGCAGGTGAAAATACCAGACATAAGGAGTGGATCCCACTCCAAGGTTTCAGTGAAGGAATTCATTTGTACTCTTTGCAGGAGTTTGGTGAGCTCCATAGAACAACTGTGTCTCCAAGACTCTGAGTCTTGTCCTGGCTTGAGGGGCACTGCAAACCTGTAGTCACTATGTGGTCTTTGCAGTGTGTGCTGAGGCACTCTGTGGTTATTCATCAACTTGGGTGGTTATCATTCATTTCTAGATTTGCTTTTGCTTTTCTGGCTGCTACAGCAGCTCTCCTCAACCAAAAACAGACCCACAAAGAGCAGGTAAGAGCATGAGCTGCAGGCAGGGGACAGGCTCTCAGCCACCTTTGGGGGCCATGGTATGGATGGCTTGGTGGGCCAAGGAGGGTGATGTCCGGCTGCACCCCTGCAGCCAGTCTGTCAGCTGTCCCAGCCTGAGCAGCAGCCTGCAGTGGAAAGGGAGCCTAGGTTCCAGGTGGCCTGTCATGTTTCCAGGGGCTGTGGCCCAGCTGCTTACAGGCCTGGCCCGTACGCTGTGCACCATGATCTGCAAGGAGGCAGGCGCCCTGCATCAGCCACGAGGCAGGTCACAGACTGGCCACCTGGAGCTGCTTCTGGGACAGATGAGTTGCCTCAGGGGTTAAAAGTTGTTGAATCAGTTGCTGATAACAGGTAGGGCTCATTGATAGTAGAGAACACAAAACACAGCACTTGATATTCTAAGGGAGAGAGACGATTGGCAGCCACAGTGCAGCTCTGAGCAGGGCCTCATGACCAGCTCTCCACTTCCCTCTCTTCTGGAAGGAGAAGCTTTTCTGGCATTCCCTGCCCACAGCCTTTCTTTTACTTCTCCATGGCCAGAGCTGGAAGAAAACAGGCTTTGCCAAGGGTTTGAGCACTATGCTGCCCCCAAAAATATTGGGGCAACTGACTATGTTTTGCAATACTTAAGACCAGGACATTGCCACCAGTTACAGGGGAGGGGAGGGGCACTGGCACTGAGCCTGCCCTCCAGCCGGATAGTCAACTGAACCTCACCGGTCAGTCAGCTGACCCAGCCTTCCCAGCTCCTTGCCAGGCCCAAGCCTCTGCCCAGAATGTGCTCTCAATGCCCCATCACTCTGCACACAGCTGATCTGCCCAGCTGCCCTGGCTTTTCCTCTGAGGTCTCTTTCAGCACTGATACCTCAGATGTCAGGATTACAGGGAGAATACTTTTTTTTGCTGCTATATACCAAGGCAGTATTGGGGAGAAGAGTTGCAGTTCTCTGCAACATCTTATAAATTTACATCTGGGGGCATTTGTCCCTGGAAAAGTTAACAGAAGCAGATCTTGCAGTGCTGGGTGGGGACTTCAGGGGTGGATCTGGTCTAGAGCCCTTGGGTTGGTCTTGTGGTTCATGGCAGAACACAAGTGTGCATGTTTGTGTGTGCATGCATGCACATTCTCAGTTTCTCCTGCCTGCCTGTCCTGACTTCACTGATTACCTACGTTTGGCTGTTGAGTTTCTTGTGGACTCAATACTTGAGTGAGCTCATTATGCCATGCCTGAGTTTCCCATCCACGTACCCTGGCATTCTGCAGTTGGGAACTGCGTCCTACTCATCTCTGAACATCTTGCACTGATCAGAGTTCCTGCTAAGTCAATACTCAGTCAGTGTTTAAAGGGAAATTAATTTAGTCCATGGGCAACACTGGGTGTTTCTCTGCTTCACAAGCCATCAGAGGTAGAAGACATCAGAGAAGCACGTGCTGTCTCCTGAAGTGCCTGTACTTAGCCCATCCAGAGCACAGTCTACGTGGCGCCAGGCACACACACTGGTTGGGAACTTGCCAAGGTGCACTGGAGTCCTGCCCAGTCTTGTATGTTGTGGCCTCAATACAAGGCCATACAAGTGGGCTCTCCCTGAACAGTTATGGGCTGACCAGGTAGCCAGAGGAAGGGGTAGTCCAAACCCCAAAAAGCTAAGGGTAAAAAGAAGAAAGGACTATAGCATTCATCATCTTTAGGAAATTAGGAGTTTGCAAAGCACACTGGCATACATTATTGTTCATCCTGAGAGGTACCAGAAAATAAGTGATTTTCCGGAGGCCACATGACCAGGAAGTGGCAGAGAAGGATTGGAGCCAGAATTCCCATTTCTCTCTTGACGTGCAGGCACAACTATGCCAAAATCCAGGGAGACCAGTCTGGGAGAGTGCTTTTAGGGATTCCAGATCGTCAGAAGTAAACTAGCTTTTAAGCCTTGGGAAGCTCACACAACATGGGCTTCCTCCTTCCTCCCCTGGGTCATACTACTGAGTCACCTCCACCGCTGGAGTGAGGGTCCCTGTGTGGTGCTGAGCACCGAGGTGCTCAGATTGAGCAGAGCCTCTCCCAGCTCCACTCAGTGGTCACTGTGTATTTTAGGGATTCCTTACAGAGAAATCCCAAAAATTCCAGACAACTGACAACCTTCCTGAGACCTCAACTTTGTGAATGACGTATTCTAAGGCTGAGACAATGTGACCAGGCTTTGAAGGTGTGGAGCTCTGAGACCTTTCAAGAAACCTCAAGTGGATTTTTCTTTTCATCATATGTTGAGTAGAGAGATGTCACTTCTCTCTTTTTTTTCTTCCCCTAGGACAAGACATTTCAAGGAAAGTATTAAATTCATTCACGAGTGCCGACTCCGCGGTGAGGGCTGTCTTGTACACTGGTACGTCTGTCTCTCACTTAATAGTACTTCAGCACACTCTGGTCAGCTTGATTTCTCATCAAGTGTCTTTTTGTGGTGTGATTAATTTTTCATCTCCCAAAAGTTTTCTCTAAGCCCTGGATCTCAGACACACACTCCACCTCTCCCATCCTGTTAGTTTGGCATTGTACACTTTTGTTCTCTTAACTCTGCTTCATTTCACCCACTGCTAGGAGTTCTGTAGGGATGGTCAAGGTCACTGTCCTTGCTACTTCTAGCATTTCCTGAGAACAGCCTCCTGCAGAAGATACAGATGCTGCAGGCTCATCCCTGAAACCTCCGTGGCTTTTTTCAAAACACCGTTTCTTTCAGGAGAGTTTTGATTGTAGCTGTGAGTGTTTAGCATTGCATTACTGTGTCAACAAAATGACCAGTTCTCCCCCCACTCCTAGGCTGGGACATATATGTGTGTTCAGCTTACAACTTTGCTTTTTACAAAGACATAAATAGACTCTTAGAATTAAACAGTTCATTGACAGCTGTCCACCTGCATTCTGGCATACTTTGTGTGGATATATAATTTATGTGTATACACAGGTGTGCGCACACACACACACACACACACACACACAGTGTGAAAAGAAAGCTGCTACAACGCACCTAACCCAAGGATGGTGCTTTAGATGTAAAGCTCTTGGCAGTGCACCTGGCACATAGTAAATTCTCAGCAAATGTTGCCCATCATTTTTATTACTGCTAATAATCATGCTAATAGCATGGCTAATTTGTCTAGTGAACCAGTAGTGAACATTCTGGAGCCAGGGCTCTGCTATCTGTCAAAGTGTGGGTTGGACATGTCCCTGGTCTGTCTTGAATGAGGTGTGATATAAATTAACTGAAAGCATAACAATCTTTGATTTCTCCAAAGCGGTTGCTTTTGCAGTATAGGCCCTTTGACAGTGTGAACTGATAACTCTCAGGGCATATGGCTGCTATGTTGGTGCAGCCCTGCTGGGGCAGAAACGGCTCAGTACATGATGCCCAGAGAAGACACATATGAAAACTGTGGTGTGTTCTGAGGGCTAGGGACCCATGATGGGGACAGAGGGGACACCAGACAGTTTTGAGAAGGGTCTTCTGCAGTTACACAATTCTTGAAATCGAGTGTGTTTCTGACTTCACATTTTTTTTTTTTAGAGAGAGAATCTCATTTTGTTGCCCTCGGTAGAATGCATGGCATCACAGCTCACAGGAACCTCCAGCTCTTGGGCTTAGGCGATTCTCTTGCCTCAGTCTCCTA